CATCGCATCTGGTCTTAATGCACCATTAAGGTTTTCATTACTTGACTTAAAACCTTCTGTCTTTTCCAAAGAATGAAATTATTGGACTTAATTAGGTTCACCTTTTTAGTGTCGAGTTTGACACCATGCTGCAACAGCTAAATCTTTATGGAATGAGATCAGCAAGCTGTTTGGGAGAATCCTCAGAGGTTCTGGTCCTTATCGACATCATGGCAAACTTACAAGTGAGTCTGCTTGACATCCAGGATGTGAACCTCTCCTCCAGGCTGCTCCTCTATAATCACTTCTCCATTTTCATGAAGGAAAGCTTTATTATTTTCTGCTGGGTTTGGGAGCCCCTGCTTGGTCCCCCTCCCCTTTGATGGCTGCCTCGTCACCAGGCCTAATCTCATCTCCATTAGAGACTTAGTAGAGCCTGTAAAAACAGTCAGTACAAAAAAACAAGATCCTTTCGGTTTGTGGGTAGTGTTTTTTTTGTTGTTGTTGTTTTATTGTAACTCTTGTCGTAACCTTTCCTCTTTCCTCCTACAGGAGTTCTTCCTCTAGACTCGCCCTGTTCTGGACTCTGTGAACTTGTTGACGTAGACGAATACTTTTTAGGTAAATCCCACATATGTTTGACTATGGAGTTAATTTAGATCCATTATTTTTGAAAGCAAGGCACACATTTGATAATTTGAAATTAAAAAACAGAAGAACTGAATTGTAAGTGGAAAGTTACAAAAAAATGAATGCAATCTAGAAATAAACTCAATTTAAAACGTTTTCTGAAAGGAACATTTTTTCTCAGATTTTCTTTTTCTTTTTTTTCTTCAAATATTTCTTTTTTTTCTGAAATGTTTTTTTAATTTCACATTTTCTTCTCTTGTGGAAGGGTTTTCCTCAAAACTGAGGAGAAAAGATTCTTTTCTTTTGGTCTGTATGAATATTATCAATATTTTTATTGGTCAGTTAGAGTTTTTTTTATCGGCTTAAAAAGAAGAATTTGGTCTTAACCACTCAACGCTAAAAACATTTGAAAATATGAAATCTGTAAAATAAATAAAGTTCTAAAAAAAATAGTTGGAATAAAAATCTGAACAAAATGAAAACAACATTTTTTTGAGAAAACAGCAAAATCACTTTTGATTAAGAAATGTTATACCGGTGTATATGTATATATATATATATATATATATATATATATATATATATATATATATATATATATATATATATATAATATAAACAAAAAACATTAAAAAAAAACATTTATGGTTCTTTAAAATTTCCATAAAAAAAAAAAAACAATTTCTTTGCATGCACCAATAATGGGACAATTATTTCACTCCATACACCATTAATTCACCATTAATTCCATTAATTCACTCCATACACCACAATCAGCCTTTAATTCCTCATCTTGGGCTAAAAGATAATGTTTTTTTACAAAACTTTTTTAGCCTCCGCTACAATAACATAATAGTTTCACTTTGAGTCGGACATATTGAGTGCATTAAGCTCCCTCTGACCTTTAAAGGGCAGTAGGACAGACGGATGCTATTAAACTTTTCCTTATCCGTCTATCGTCTGCACTCTATGCTCATTAAACTCAGAGTAAAGCTCCGCTGGCTGTTTGACAGAAGCCTGAAAGCACCTTGAGTGCAGAGTCTCAGGGCAGCACTTTCTAAAACATGACAAATGTAATAATAATCCAAACACTTATAGGTAGAGAAGCTGTGAAAGGTGTCAATAAATTTAACGCATATCAGCAAACACTGGCATCCTCGCCATATGTTGACGTGTTCCAG